TTCATTCAATTAAGCAATTCGAGAAAATAATATCCATTCAAATAACAATCCATAATTCAAAACAAACCAAAACCAAACAAATTATTCCAAATACTTAGAAAAATTGTTCAAAATTAAACCATAAACCTAGGAAAATAGGGGGGTAGGGCCGGCCACTCCTAGTAGGTTCGGCCACTAGGGGTAAACACCCTAAATACATGTCTAATTTATTCATCCATAGGTGCTGACGCCTCTTAGAAATCCGATATCTCTATTGATGTAGTTGCATCTTCCAGATGATCCATCTATGTAAAGTTAGACTCACGATGAGAATGATACTTGGCAATAGCCTCAGGGGAAGCTCGGCATACGCGTGACCAATGATCCCTTGATCCACAACGATAACACATGTCCAGTTCAGTAAAAGCAACATGAACGAGAGCTTTGCCCTTGTTCTTGAAGTTTGGGACCTTAGGGGCGAGTGGTGGACGCTGCTAGGTCACATTTCTTCCCTTAGGTGCAGCACTCTGTTGACCTTGGGCCTGTGGTTGGGCTTGCCGCCCATTGCCACGACCATGATGGTTCTTTCATCGTTTATGGCTGCTAGAATAGGTCGCATGCGCTTCAGGCGTGGCGTTCGAGCTAGTGGGCGAGCTTAATGATTCTTCATCAAAAGCTAGTTCTGCTTTTCAACGAGAAGTAAAATAAAGATCAAATCCGAAAACTTGGTGAATTTCTGTGCCCTATATTGTTATTGCAGGACAATATTGGTGGCATGGAAGGTTGAATAGGTCTTCTCCAGGAGATCTGATTCGGCTAGTTCCACTTTGCAAAATTTTAACAGAGAACGAATTCTACAAACTTCAGAGTTGTATTCATTCATGGACTTAAAGTCCTGGAAGCAAAGATGCTGCTAGTCATGTCTTGCTTCATGCAAGTTTATGTCTTTCTGGTGATCGAAACGGTCGACCAGAGCAAGTCAGAGGGTGCGTGGGTCTTCCTTAGTGAGATACTCAATCTGCAGTGCATCATGAATGTGTCTTCAGATGAAGATCATTGCAGTAGCCTTCTAAGCTTCGTCAACAGGTTTGTCGGCGATAAGTGCCTCGATGGTAGCTCTAATACCCTTTGCAGTGAGATAGAGCTTTATTTCTTGAACCCACTTCAGATAGTTTCTTCTAAAGACTTCTAGAGCGGAGAAATCGAGCTTGTTCAAGTTCGACATGTCCCTAAAACGGAGGGAGAAAACGTGATTAGTCATATGGTAAGCCATATGGTAAGCCATAAACATATATCGTAGAACATATAGGTTCTATAGACATGTAGTGGTTTAATTTATGCATGAAAACTACGAGTTTCATGTGGTATGTTTTGAATGAAAACTTCGGGTTTCAAAGGCACTAAATTTGAAACTACAAGTTCAATTTAGTTTTATGAACAATTAGTTCATAATGAGAGGTTCGTGCAAGAAACACAGAATGCAATATACTAAGTGTAGTGGATTTGAGGTTCTTTGGGAACTCAAGTGTGAGAGCTTCGTTACTACGAAAGTATGTGATGGTTCAAAGCATAAAAATAAATTATTGAATTGCTAATGTCCAAAATTGATCTTCAGGTCAATAATTTTGGATTCATTATTAGATTAATGGATTGCAGGTCACTTTTAATTAATTCAATAAATTGGGCCATACTGAGTCGATTGTAGAAGCTAAATAATATTATTGGATTGAAAATATAACCCCAAAATAATTTGGGCTTAGTGCCTTGGGTAAGGGGGCACGGGTTTGGATGCCTTATGCATAAGGCAAGGCCCAAAGGTCATTGGATGATGGTTGCAGGACATGGGGTGGCTGAAAAATAAGCCTAAAGGCTTTACGGGAATGGGAGGAACCCCAGCTGCAGCTGGGTTCTTCGTGTGGACCGAAAAAAATGAGGGTCAAGGGCAGGCCTAGGAAAACTGGGTTGCAGGTTGCATGTGTGCGGGACAAAGCCTAGCCCCATGGGCTGGCTGACGTAGACTTGTGGAAAAGACCCAGCCGACTGGGCTGGTGGAATCGGCTGCGGGCTGAGGCAACAGCAAGGTCTAGTAAGCAGGGGTAGGGCTGCAGGCCCGTGGTGAAGAGACCCAAACCAGGCGCATGACCTGGTTGTTTACACAGTGCCATAGTGGTGCGGTGGGTGTGCCGCACCATGTCCAAGTTCCCCTTTTTTCTTTTTTCTTTTTCAAATCCCTTAGGGTTTAGGAAAAAACCCTAAATATGCTTCTAATTTAATTTTGTACTTTGACTCACAAATTCCACACAACAATTTAATTGTGCGATGCATGAAACATATATATATATTGATAAATATATGAACATATACAATATATATATATATATATATATATATCAAAAAGAAAATTTAAACATAGGGGGTTCATGCATCATGGGGAATGTTTTCATGCTTCGTGGACGTTTCAAATATCTTCTTTTATTTTAAGCGTACCTGATTAGCAGAAAACGAATACGCCTTTGAGTTTGGTGGATGATAGCCTCCTCCAACGATGCTTCAATTCCTCAGCTTCTAGAAAGAGTGTGTTGATAATGTATTGTAGGCGTATTTGATTGAACGATTTAGGGTTTAGAGAGAGGGAGAGGGTCGACCACTATGAGAGAGAAGAGAGATTGATTTAATTGTGAGGTGTGTTTGATTCACCCCATTGTGCCTTTATTTATAGAAGTAGGAAGGGTAAAACCTTTCCCTTTAGGATTACAATATTTAATAGGTAATCTAATCATAATAGAAATATAAAATACATTCCTAGATTCCCTGGGATTTACACAATCACATTCATATTCTAAATATGACTGCAACACGAATCATATTTTAGAAAGGCTTTATAGCCGAATTATAAGTACTATGTATCATAAAATTACTAATTTATATATGCGTAGTGTCACATCTCGACGCGAGGTCCACCACATCCTGGGCTCGACTTCGTTGTAACACGATATTATCTGCTTTGGGCCCTGACCACGCCCTCACGGTTTTGTTTCTGGGAACACACACGAGAACTTCTCAATAGGTCACCCATCATGGAATTGCTCTCGCGTGAACTCGCTTAACTTCGGAGTTCCGATGGAACCCGAAGCCAGTGAGCTCTCAAAACGCCTCGTGCTAGGTAGATATGAGAATATACATATAAGGCTTACAAGATTCTCACCCCTGGGCTATGTGAGATCTTATACGTAGGGCCTATATGAATATTTTATAATGTATTATCTTATAAATTTAACGAATCATTAATTTAGCATATTATTCCCAAATCGGAACTGACGAGAATATTATTTAACTAAAATTTTTAATTTATCGGTTATTAAATATCAAGATTCGACGTTACAAATTTTGGTACTTAGATCACTTACTTATATTACAATATGTCAATTACTGATGTTCTATGATAGCTTTATAGTTAATCGTAATTTTTCTCTAACCAAACATTAATGTTTTACACGTTCTGAAAACTCTGACTTGGTCTTCATCAATTAAATGACAAACTTAACAAATCCATAAGTTCGCCTAAATATTAAATATGAGTTCGGATTAAGATACATACAGATCTTGATCCAATAAAATTCAACTAATAGAAAAAGTCTTCGTGAAACCCGGCAAACAAATTCTTTAAACTATTAACTTCAGTTTTTCAGTCATTCAGTATTACGGTCTGATGATATTTATATTCGTTTAAAAGTGAGAGGTCTTAGGTTCGAATATTGTGGATAACGAATTCTTCTAGTTTGTTTACACAAACCATACCTTGTCACTCACCAACACAAACCTTCAGTTTTTCAGATATGATGCAGGAGGCTATGTTTTTTTTTTCTTAGTCCATAATCTTCTAGTTTTGTTTACACAAACCATACCTTGTCACTCACCAACACAAACCATATCTTGTCACTCACCAATTACCAAGTTCAGTTTAAAACCTGCTTCTGATACACAAAAGAAGGATTTGATGATTTAACATAAAGAAAGATGCATGGTTGTGTTTAGAAATCACTTTATCTTAAACAATGATGAAAGCCACCAGCAGCACAATTACTTTTCATTTAATACTGTTGCTACTTGTAATTTATATATAGTGAGTCATATAGTAGTCTCTTTTTATAAACCCTATCCTAGTACTCTGCTTCCATAGGCATTAGGCATTTGATTCGCAAGAATAGATTGCCGATCACGTAATCCGAATAAAAGTTATTCAAATTAGTACTTGTCACGCTTTGATCAATAGGTCTAGAATCGACACGTAATATAGAAGTAGCGGTACATAATCAAATGAAACTCATACATAATTTAAATTACTAAAACATGAAGGGTACAAACCATATGCCGAGCACATTGCCTCAATTCTCGCATCAACTGCTATCTGTAACTCTACAAAAACAACCTTAGACCATGGAACGGTCTGGTTGATAACGAATTACTAGAAAATAATTTTCTTAATTTTCGAGTGACAAAGAGCACGTGTGCTGGTTGGGTTTCACTTCAGTCAATTTACTCTGATATCGTAAAGGAAGTTAGGTTTCAACCCAAAACCAATCAACAATTTTGAAAGTAACCCATCTTATTAAAAACTAATCACCAATGTGAAGAGGAGTAATCCAACTTTTTACAAATCTATGCAAGGGTTTATAAGTAAATTAAGCTCGTATTGTCAATTGATTTTATGATGGAACTTCAACTTTTTTCACAAGGTTACTTTAACTTCCCAATGTGAGACAACACTCTACAGCCACTTCCTCGCACTATTTTCCTTTTTTGATTATTGTTAATGCATTCTTTATTTGAAATATTGATTATTCTTCCTTTTGATTTTTTATACCCAGTGATAAGGGAAGAAAAAGAAAGCCCCAACGGGAAGCAATGAATATGTGTCCTTTTTTATCATCATGAAAGTAAAAGTGAAAAGAGATCAAGAGAAAACAAATCAAAAGAGAGGATGTTACACTTAAATCTTGCTGTTCTCTCCACTTATATATATGCTTGTAGTGCTGAAGAAGTATTTTCATTTCAATTACTTCAACTATTCTCAGTCCCTAATTTCTCACTGTAAAAGTCAATGCCAACTTCCTCTTTGTTCTTCCCCCTACTCTATCTACTTATCTCGACCTCAATTACAAGTAAGTCTTCATCTCTTCTATGTATTTCTTCTACTTTGGGATGATAATCCGTCGTGTTCGGATGTATCCATTTATCGTAATTGTGTCTCACTCGTTTGTTGGTCAACAACACACAAAATTATATCAAATATTACTATGATAATACAATACCTCATACTATTCATAAGAAAAATGAGAAAAGTAATCATTTTAATAATATAGTATTAGTTCAATAGTGTTGTTTGTGTTTTAATCGCGTGCCCTCTATTCTTGGGGATCGAGTTGTGTAACGTGTGTAGTGTCTTAAAATGCCACCTCTGCTTGTACTCTATTTATTACTGCCCTATGTCATATTTTTTCGGTTTCAAATTACGTTTTTACTTTTATTGTTGCAGATGGGGCTCAACTGATTATAGTGAACAACTGCAATGAAAGTATATGGCCCGGTATACTTGGCAGTGCAGGCCTAGCCACTCCTGAAAGTGGCGGTTTCCATCTTGGCAGCGGTGAGGAATCAGTTCTTGATGTGCCTGAGAAGTGGTCAGGAAGGATATGGGGCAGGCAGGGTTGCTCATTTGACAGTAATGGAATAGGCAACTGTGAGACCGGAGATTGTTTTGGCCAATTGCGTTGCCAAGGCAAAGGAGGCGTGCCTCCAGCGACCGTGGTTGAAATGACGCTTGGATCATCAACTTCACCCCTGCATTTCTATGACGTGAGCTTGGTTGACGGCTTTAACTTGCCTGTGTCAATGAAGCCGGTTGGTGGTGGAATAGGGTGTGGTGTTGCCTCATGCGAGGCTGATTTGAACGTTTGCTGCCCGTCTGCATTGGAAGTGAGGAGAGGAGGCAGGGTGGTGGCATGTAAGAGTGCCTGCTTGGCTATGCAGTCTGCGAAGTATTGCTGCACAGGAAGCTACGCAAACCCAAACACTTGCAAACCAACCCTTTTCGCGCATCTGTTTAAGGCCATATGCCCCAAGGCTTATAGTTATGCCTTTGATGACTCCTCCAGCCTTAACAAATGCAGGGCTTCGCGGTATGTCATCACTTTCTGCCCTCCCCAATGAGGAATGGCTGAAAAGGATGAAGCAAATGGCTTTTGTAGTACTAATCTATACTTGGAAAAAACTACTGTTTTTTTCTTTTCTTTCTTGATTAGAAGAATGGATTAATTTACTCTTAAAGAAACGAGTAATGCTAAAACCAGATTACATCGCTCTTGATGTGTATGCTTTACGTAAATTATCATCGCCGAACATGAAACCAAAAGATGTGATCCATCGGTAAATACTCGAAAGAAATTAAATTGCTTTAGACAGCAGTTTTCTGTTTGGTTTTGCAGTTGTCAGTATTATAATCGCCAAATAATTCATTTGTCACATAACCAAAAGATATGAACACGGTCCTCTTTACCATATACTCTAAAGCCATTAAATCGACTTCAGACGGCAGTTTCCAGTTGGTTTTTAGAATGTTTGTTCTGTAGTTGTCAGTATCTTAAGGAAAATCTCTGTATCTAGATGCATATAATAGGATTATCTCAAAGTCCTTTACTAAGTGTTCGAAGTGGGGTTTCATAACGTCCAATATGATACAACAGAAGGAAAGCTCTAATTCTTCTGCAACTAAAGAATCTTAAAATCAGGCAGGATGAAGATCCACCTTATCAAACACCACTTGGAGCACTGATCTGGTCTATAAAACCCCGAGTACTTAGAGTTATCGATACAATTTTAAGCTGAACACTCCGAGAAGGGAACATGGGTTCATACATGGTACCAGAGCTACAAGGAAGGTAGCTTCTGTTGTCAAGTTTGCCTTGGTAAAGAAAGATTGTGATACTCGAAGATGGACTCAAACTGAAGCTCTGGATTAGGTATTGATTTGTTGAATTAGTCAAATTTCAAGGTATGGAAATCTTGTATGGAATCCTATCTCTTGGGTGAAGATTGATGGGAGGTTGTTAGTGGAGATAAAACTGCCACTCCAACAAATACACAAGAAATTCCAGACGCTTTGAAGAAGTGGAAGGTCAGGAATGCTAAGGCTGAATTTGCCTTGAAGAAATCTTTTTCTCGCGAGCTGTTTGAACACATCACATATTGCAAATCCGCCAACGCGATATGGACAACTCTTGATGGCTTATTCAACAAAAAGAATGAAGGAAGGCTGCAACTGTTGGAGAATGATCTAGCAAATTTAACCCTAGGTGATCTTTCTATTTCTCAGTTCTTCTTGAAGGCAAAACATTTACGCTCCGAAATTTCGTCTCTTGATACGGAAGGACCAATGTCGGATGCACAAGTACGAAGGCATATTATCCATGTGCTCAAACATGAATATGTTCCTTTTGTTACATCAATATAAGGATGGGCAAATTAGCCGTATTTGGTAGAGCTGAAAAATCTTCTAGCCTCTCAAGAGTCTTTGGCTAGACAAATGGCTAGGTGCTCTTCGTCATCTTCGAATGGTGATGGAAGTGCCATTTGTACTAGAAAAAAGAAGTTTGAAAAGAAAAAAAACTAAGGAAAAAGCCTAACAGCCCCGTGATTCCAACCAAAAAACGAGAAGAGGGAAAGATTTACCAATGAAGATGTGGATAGGCAATGCCATCACTGTGGAAAAATGGGGCATATACGGAAAAATTGTAATGTGAAGATGCAAGGGGGAACATGGCTAAATTGAAATAACCAAAGAGTGAGGAAAATTGGGGGAAGTGCTTTGTGGCTAAAACTACCACTATATATGCTTTTGCCTCAATCAATTTCAAAAAAGATTGGATTGTTGAATCCGGTTGCAGCCATCATCTCACATGCAATGATTCATGTTCTCTTCCTTCTGAAAATATGTAGGAAACGATGCCATGGTCACAGCAGATGATTCTGTTTATTCGGTTAAAAAGGAGGGAGGTGTTGCAATTGACAATGACGATGATTGCATTACCCTGAATAATGTTTTTCAAGTACCGGGTATAAAGAAAAATATGTTTTTGGTGGCAAATACAATTGATACAGGAACATATGTTATCTTTGGACCTTAAAATGTGAAGTTTTTACGAAATTTGAAATGCTAAAGGAAGGGGTGGGCTTAGCCTCACAATGGGCTAGTAATAATGTGATTCAAATTTGCCTTTGGCGAGAATCGAACCTAAGACCTCTCACTTACAAATGAAGAGGAATACCACTAGACCTAGTACTAAGTGGCCAGTTCTTATGTTGATAACATGAGTAAAAATGATAATCCTACACTTTGGCATGCTAGATTGGGACATCTGAGCATGGATAAGTTAAAGGCTATGGTGCTGAAAATTTTGGTTGATGGGTAGCCAAAGATAAACTCATTTCATGTGATAAATTTTGTGAAGGTTGTCAATTTGGGAAGGCACATTGTCTTCCATTTCACAAATCTGATTCAAGAAGCAAGGTTTATTTGGAATTGGTTCATAGTGATCCTATAGGACCAACCAATACACCTTCTTACACAGGTTGAAGGTATATGTCACTATTTGTAGATGACTTTACAAGATTTACTTAGGTATATTTTGTGAAGGAAAAATCAGAGGTCTTTTCCAAGTTTCAGGAATTCAAAGTAAATGCTAAAGGGGTTCATGAAAGGAAAATCAAGTGTCTTCGTACTGATAACGGTGGAGATTTTACTTCATTCGAATTCATTATATTTTGCATGGAGCATGGTATTCGTAAGCAGCTCACTTGTGCTCACACACCGCAACAAAATGGTGTGGCGGAAAGGAAGATTAGGCATTTGGTGGAGACTTGCAAGACCTGGTTATTTGTGAAAAATTTACCAAAGGCCTTATGGGAAAAAGGTATGGCTTGTGCAACATACGTGATTAACCGAGTTCATCTTAGTCCAATTGATTTGATGTCTCCATATGATAAATTGGCTGGTGAAAAACCAAATGTCAAGCACTTCAAAGTTTTTGGTTCCATTTGCTATGTTCATATACCAGATGCTCAAAGGACCAAGCTAGATGCAAAAGCCTAAAAATGCATTTACGTTGGTTACGATGAAAGGAAAAAGGGTTGGAAGTGCATGGAACCTGATACTCACAAAATTACAGTTTCAAGGGATGTTTTTTATGAGATTTCCTCCTATTTTGACAAGAAAGATGCTTCCGTTGAAACCAGGTTGGTGGAGTCTTTGCCTATTCCATTAGCGAATGAAATCAACCCCTCATCATATGATCAAACATGTGAAGAAGCTGTGACTCAAGATGATTCTTTTATAGGGAAGCATGCAAATGGGGGAGCTGAGATTTGTCATGTTGAAACTGAAAGCAGCGATGAATTTGTAGCTAAACCATCTCTTAGAAGATCCCAAAGAACAATTGTGAAGCCATATCGTTTTAAAGATTTTGATAGTCTTTACTCTTGTCTTCTTGCTGGACAAATATTGATGATAATGAGCCATCTTGCTTTGATGAAGCTCATGAAAAAAAGGAATGGGATGAAGCTATGGGTTTAGAGATGAATGCTCTTAAAAAATGAGACTTAGGATCTTGTTCCAAAACCCTAAGGTGCAGATCCAGTGACATGCGAATGGGTTTATAAAATAAAGCGGAAAGTAGATGGAATTATTGACAGGTTTAAAGCAAGACTTGTTGCCCGTGGTTTTTCTCAAAATTATAGGGAAGATTATGAAGAAACTTTTAGCCCCGTTGCAAAGTTAATTTCAGTTCGAATTATGATATCATTGGCGGGTTGTAGAAGATGGAAATTATGGCAGCTTGACGTCAAAAATGCATTCTTATATGGCGAGATTGACAAAGAGATATATATGGTACAACCAGGCTGGGTATGTATCACAAGAGCATCCGAATTTTGTTTGCAAGCTTAAGAAAGCGCTCCATGGCTTGAAACAAGCTTCGAGAGCTTGGTATGGTAAAGATTGCTGAATTCTTACTATTTTGTGGTTATGTTGCTTTAGATTATGATGCAAGCCTATTTGTCAAGCGGAATGAAAGATCACACATTGTAGTTCTCTTGTATATGGATGGCATGATTGTGAGTGGCAATGATGAGAAGGAAATTGCAAAACTTCGATCCAAACTCTTAATTGGGTTCGAAATGAAAGATTTGGGTGAACTAAATCATTTTCTTGGTTTGGAAGTGGAAAATTTAATACATGAATTTTTTATACCTCAAGAGAGCTACGCTGGAAATCTTGTTGAAAGGTTTGGATTATCTATAAGCAAAAAGTGCTTCACTCCATTGGATGCAAATTTAAAGTTAAGGCAAAATCAAGGCAAGCTTCTTCCAGATTCTCGACCGTATCGTGCATTGGTATATCATTTGCGGTTAGGCATGTTAGCTGATTTATGCAGAATCCTCAGAAACCTCATTGGTATATCATTTGCGGTTAGGCATGTAAGCTGATTTATGCAGAATCCTCAGAAACCTCATCTTGATGCAACAAAGCCGATATTGAAATATGTTTATGCAACTCTTAACATGGGACTTGTGTTCAAGAAAGATGTTGATCTTAAGTTGTATGGTTTTACAGAGGTTGACTTTGCTGGTGATTTAGATGATCAAAGATCGACATCTGGCTATGTTTTCTTTTGTGGATCAGCATGTATTTCTCGGTGCACTAAAAAATAAGACTACTGAGGCTGAATATAAAGCCCCTTCTTTTGCTACTCAAGAATGTGTTTGGTTGTGTCAACTGATTCAACAATCTACAGTCCTGCGGTTATACATGGTGACAACCAAAGTGCTATAAAGCTTGCAACAAATCCGGTGTTTCATGCGAGGACCAAGCACATTGAGAGTGAGCATCACTATATTCATGAATGTGTGCTTAAAGGAAGAGTCAAAGTTTCTGAAGTTCGAAGCAATGCAAACGTTGCTGACATCTTTACAAAATCACTTTCCAAAGAACCGTTTGAAGGCTTCTGTGCGTAGCTTGGTTTAACATCTAGAAAATCACTTTAAGAGGGAGTGTTAAAATAAAGGTGGTTTTTCTAGAATGGCTTCCCACATACCTAACAACTTATATGAATTCCTTAATTGTGGCTGCCCTGGGAACCCACATGTTTTCATGATGCAGTGACACTCTTTTATGTTTTAGTTTTCTTTCCAGACAATAATTTTAATTGCATTGATAACTAGCTGCTGTTTATCCTTTTGAGTTAGTTTTTCATCTTTCCTTTTGGTTGTATTGTTCATGCTCCTGGTGAGTGTTGTAACTTGTAAGCTTATTTCTTTGT